TTGGTAATATAATTAGACGGCATGGGATAAACTTCCACTGTTATGCTGACGATACTCAGTTAATCAAATTAATTCCTTCCTGTTGTTGGTAAAGAATGGCTCCAAGACCTTTTTCAGAAGTGTCTGTGTGGAGCACAAAAGATGAGTTGAAGTCAGGGTATCGCAATACAGGTGGGGCCATGAGCATATCCACTAGCCGTTCCAGGGTTTTCTGGTGCACTTTTGACCACTCTACAGGGGTGTTGGCAGGAAGTTGTTGTTCCCTGGCTTTCACTCTACATCCTGGTGCCCCTGAATTTGCAGGTTTTGTTTGCAACAGCTCATACAGAGACCTCGCTATATAAGAAAAATCTTGGCTATAAAACCGGTAAAAGCTTAAGAAGCCAAGGAGTCTTTGGACATCACTCACCTCTGTGGTGTCCTATCTTTAAATGAGGACACTGCCTCGAGGTCTTTCGGGTCAATTCTCACACTTTTGATAATGAGGACAAACAGCCATTTTTACCGCAGTTTTGCTCAAAAACATCAGTTCAGTCCCTGTGATCCACTCGTACTTCCTCTCTCCCTCCTCTCCTGTGGGTTGGAACCCGCACCTTCGCGCACCGGTGTGACATCATCAGAATTCTGCCCGGTTCCGTAGCCAGACTTGGTTCCGTGTTTGAAATGTGTTTCCCTACTGCTCCGCACGGAAGCGGCAAAATAACGTTTAGCGCTCATAACAAGCGGATTCTCAGCGCTTTGCCCATGCATCCTATATCTTGGCTGAAGTAATGGCTCAGGAAAATAACTTATATTTCATAAATAATGACGTCTCTGCAGTGTTTATGAGAATATTTTATCTTATATTGTACCTATCTTTGGTCTGGGAGGTGCTACAAATCATGATACAAGCCGTTAAGGGTGAACTGCAGGGACATTTTTCCCAAACAAGTTTTTTGATGAACTATAGGGACACCAATTTCTACTTCCTGTACAGAGTTGGTAAGCATCTCAAAAAATCTATTTTAAGCCCTACAACACAAATCCCACTTCAAATTTTGTTTACACACAACACGCACTTAACTATAAAAACCTGATGAAATGCTACATTAAAAGGACATCGATAATGAGATGGCTTAGCCCAGGGGTCGGCAACCTGTTCCCATCAAAGAGCCATTATTACCCGTTTCCCACAGTAAAGAAAACACTGGGAGCCACAGCAGCTGCGGCTCTGTGGGCGGGGCCTACCCTCAGACAGCAGAGAGCTGCTTTAACCAATCACAACAGGTGACAGCAGCCGGTACCGGTCGCTCGTGTACGTCAAAGTTATCTTTCATAAGAAGATAATCAATAAAACGATTTATATAAAGTGGATCCAGAAGTTGTAGCCCGTCTCTGCCGACAATATTTAGATATTTTTCACCCTGTTGGTGGTTTTACTGAGCAGGTGCCACTTTTGTCATACGTTTCTTTTTAAAACATGTTTAGACTGTTCAGAATACAAATCCAGGCTCTGTCACGTTTGATTGTTGTAATTAAACTTTGTAGGTGGGGAAGGTCAGAAAAGGATCCGATCATTTTGTTTTTCCCTCATTTACAGCGACGGAGATAACGGCGCAGTGCGCTTGGCTCTGGTGTTAATCAAGTTTAATTATATCGCTTTGCAACAATTTTCACAAGAAAACAGAACAGTTAAAAGCAGGGCTTGTGTTGTGTTGACCGGATAGTTCCCGTATTTGACCGTTTATTTTGACGGAGAAAGAATAGAAAGAATTACCCCGACGCATGCAGACGAACTGACAGACCGGTACAACGCTGATCTCACGCTGCATCTTTCCCTCACTTGTGAACAAGACCCCGTGATACTTAAACTCCTAGGGTAGAGAAGGTACTCTACCCTAAAACAGATTTGTTTAAAAGTACTCTTTATATGTACTGTTTTGGAATTACATTTACTTTATACTCCAGTGTTGATGAAAGTTCCTCCAAAACAGTGTAAAAAGTACTCTGGTAAGCTCCGCCTTCTTCTTCAGCTGCAGTGGGTGAGGTGCATTGTGGGTAGTCATGTTTTTAGTTAGTTTGTTCTATTTTGGGGTATTCATGCATGTTTATTTTGGGGGTTATGTTGTTCTTAGTTATTACTTTGTTTATGGTTGCAAATGTGGTATTACTTGTTGTGTCGTATTGGCACTGTAGGTGAGGAGGTTGGCCAAAGGAATCGGACCCCTGAGCCGCTCCGCTCCTTAGTGATTCACGATATAAGCTCTGGTCCCTGCGCCTTGTGTATGAGATATGTTCTGGCCAGCGTTTTAGCTGTGGCTGCTAGTAGTGGTGTGCCACTGAAGCCTCATGAAGCACTTTGAAGCATTCTCTACTGATACATGACTCAGGCGGCCTGAGTCAGGCCTCGAACACTTTAGCTGTGCTGCCATCTAGTGGCGCTAGGTAAAATTACAGGACTTTAAAATGCTCACACATTGTTTCTGAGGATGTCGTTCCATGTCAAATGCTGTTTCCTCAGTCTGAACAGCACAGATCGGATTTATTCACATCTGACCCAAGTCATTTCCTTTGTGGTACTTATTACGATCTTATGTTTCTGAAAGCAACTGCAGTCTCAATGGTCATGTTGCATTAAATTCATTTCCTACATCTCTGATCCAGGCCCGACTTCAGCAGGCCAAAAAGTTGGCATGAGATATATAATGAGAGGGCTGCCGTTACTCTGATCAATGACGTCACGCTACGTAATTCCCTAAAGAAACGTTTATTTTCCCGTGCATTCAGAAACATCATGAAAAAGCCATCACACACATTGTAATATTCACAGTTTGAGTTTTTTTCGGAGGATCTGTTTTCAGACATTAAACGTGCACCAACTAAAATCAGAAACATCAACTCACAACGGCAAACTTCGAGTTATTCCATCAGTCACTAAAAACGCTTCTGATAATAACAAAACCTCTTATCAAGAGAAGAGATAGTCCTTAAGTCAACTTATATTTTAACGGTATTCTATCCCACCTTTATTCAGAAGAGTTTGAGTTTTCTCATGGCTGATGAGTGAAATCTCCGCCGGAGGCCATCTTTCCACTCGAGTTTGAATTGTCTTGTGAGTTCCTTTTCAAAAGCCAGCTTGATTCGATTTTCTTTGCGTCTGTGTTCAGAACACACTTTCCTCAGTGTAGAAAATGAGTTTCATACATAGCTGTGGAGGCCCTGAATGTCAAAGAAAGTTTGAACGCTCTACGGACCACAGGCATGGAATCCAGGTGTAGGTCAAGAGAGGCTGGCCAGTAGTCGGTTTTCCAGCACCATGGACAGCACCATGGACAGCACCATGGACAGCACCATGGACAGCACCATGGACAGCACCATGGACAGCACATCCAAAATACGGACGAGCAATGGCGAATTCCCACTCATTCATCTCTGTTTTTGTTAGACCCACCTTCTCAAGGTCCAAAAACGACCTGCTGTCAGGGTCTAGCGCTTTCAGAGCCTCCATGTGCTTATGATTCTGTTGCCTGAAGCAAACAGTCATCTGTCGAGAATAGAGACTGTAATGGAGAAAGAATCCTTTTGGCCTCCTGTTCGTTATCCTGCTCATGATGAACAAGTGTCTCCTCCACCATGTAGTGCTGCAGAGATGCGGGTGCCCGATGGGTCTGTCATGAGGAATGGAACGGTGGTCTCGTCCAAACTGTCGGTCCAACGTTTTGAAAACTCTTCGTCGGACCTTAGATTTTCAGTGCAAGCAGACGTGCTTTTGATGAGTTTGACGAGCTGAACTGCTGTGATGAGGTCTGTTCTTTCAGCCTGGAGCATTTTATTTGCTGGATCCATCAGTCTCAAAATCTTGTGCATCACACAGGCGACAAGTTTAAAGGTCAGTTTCGTTATGGCTTTGAGGAGTCCAACAGCCTGGATTTTCACATCAGCACCTGGTTTCCAGGTTTCAACGTCAGTCAAAAACTCCACAGGTGTCGCGTGTGATTTCACAATCACAGATACGGTTTCAAAGTGTCCGTCTCCACCGTTGGTCCAAAGGTCTTTTAAGCTTTTCTCCTTTAAAGTGCGCAGCGATTGTCGTCTCTTTTAAGAATTTCTACAGCTGATTGCAGACACCAAACAAATTCTGCTGTGCTCTCAGGTAAGATGGTGAGCACAACAACCTGGTGAAGCTGATGATTAAGACAATGGATGTACGGGATTTCCCGCTCTAATCGATTTTGAATCCCTTCATGAAGTGTAGGCGGCGTGTTGGGGAACTGTGCTGTAAGCATGAGCAAGCTCCAGGTCCAGATTGATCTCTGTCATTAAGGGCGTCTACGGATCCCCGTGATTCATTTGAGACGAGGAACTCAGTTATGTCAATAATCGCTGACATGTAGAGGCGGCTTCGAGAAAGCTCAGTTAAGTCAGACTTAACCCGTGTTTTTGTTTCCAAAGGGCCGTCGGCTAAAACCCTTTGCCTTGTCGGCAGCACGTTTCCAGTTGCTAAAGCCAAAAGTTGTGAATAAACTCTCATTTCCTCCATATTTTCTGCATGGATAGCAAAAAGCAGAGTCTGCCTGAACAGAGTACTCGAGCCAGTCTTTTCCATGGTACCACGACACTAAAAATTAGTGATTACAGTCATTTATGTGCAGTTTTTTTTTTGGGGGGGGGGGGGGGGGGGGACTGAAGAAGTGTTGGCTCACCTGGCCAGGGAACGCCTTGGGATTCCCGTGGAGGCCCAATTGGCTGGGGAGAGGGAAGTCTGGGCGTCTCGACTTAGGCTACTGACCCCGTGACCTGACTCCGGATAATCTGTGAAAACGGACGGACGGACGGACGGGCAGGCGGGCGGGCGGGCGGGCGGGCGGGCAGGCGGGCGGACGATGGATGGATGGATGGATGGATGGATGGATGGGTGGATGGATGGATGGATGGATGGATGGATGGGTGGGTGGGTGGATGGATGGATGGATGGATGGATGGGTGGATGGGTGGATGGATGGAGTGTTACGTGTCTTATACAGTCAAAGTGTTTTAACGGTTGTGTTTGTTCCATAACAGATTGAACTCTGAGTGTAACACTGACTCTGCATATTTAACTGTGGTCAGTGTAACAGGATGGGACCACGTGTTCACTGGCTCCGTGTTCAAATGGACTGCGTTAGTGTTGCATTAACGCTGCTCCTTTCACTGCTGGTGTTTACCTGTTTCTACCTTTAAAGAGTGTGTGTAGGTGAGCTGAGTTTGGTGTGTTAAATATTAAATTATTTTTTTCTTACCACACCTAATATCTTTAATAATACTTTTTATTATTTCATTTGGTGCCTCATTGGCATCAAGCCCGAGAGCGAAAGCAGGACCACCGGGCGGGTGGTGTCAAAGAAGACGGGGAAGCTGTCCATGTGGACGCTCTCCTAAAACATCTGACGGACTTTGTGAGGGGCTTCATTTAGTAGCATGGTCCAGTCCAGTCTGTCTTAGATGCCCCGGTTCATATTTGGACTCACAATTGTTGAACACCTGTTTAACTGTTATTGTGTGTGATGAAGTTAGCTTCTATGCAACTGGTGACTTTAACCCAGCCGTTGCCTCTGGGTGAAGGGAGGCCGGAAGAAGGAAAATAACAAGCAGTAAAGTGAGGAGTTGACCTGGCTAAACACGCAACGTTGGACCCCGTTTAATAGCCACCTCCCACGTCACAGCAAGTCAACTAATGATGCTGGTGGTGGATTTACTGACAGAGTTCAGCTTTAATGCATTTATAATTTATAGAAACGTGTTACTTCTTTTCACGTTAACATTCAGAGGTATTCAACAGTAATAATTTATTTATGGAGAATGCTGCAGGAACTAACCACAGAGCTGATGGTAATACTGTTTATTTAGTACAACACAGTATTAAACTCTTGTGTAGATCACACTATTTAACGGTTTAAACTCGGCTGCTGGTTTACCGTATAACTGGAACATTTCTTAAGAGTGTGCATAAAGACTTTTTCCAGATGCCATCCATGTGAGGCAGGAAGCCCTCCCCCAATCCCGGGTGCTGATGAGGGTTCGGGTGGGGCCTGGCTGGAGCTGCTCTCTTTTATCCTTCAGATCGGAGCGCGTGTCTGACCCAGGGTCGGCCTGACGCCGGGAGCAACATGCCCTCACCCCCCGGACCATCCCCAGGTGGATGCTGCCCTGTCACAGGGAGAGGATGAGGAGCTGCGCCTGATGCTGCGCTGCTTCCTTGTTTATCTTGTTTGTTTGTTTGTTTTGGTGTTTTTGCGCTCAGCGCACATCCAGGCTACATGGGAGGCAGCAGAGGCTCGGCCCTTTCTTTATTAAGGACAACATCACCGCGGACGGCCTCACAGAGCCCAATGGTTCTCCTGTTGTGATCTTGTCTAGTCATTATGAACAACGCGCAAGAGATGTCGCCCGGCTTCGTGTTGATGCGCCTGGTTTCCGCGGCTGAGGACGGCCGCTCGGACGCAGAAAACGGGACTCTGTCCCTGGGAGGAGTGGTGGCCGGGCTGGGGAGGGAAGCTCTGGCTCCCGGCGGCGTCAAAGCGGTTTTGGATAACAGCCGAGATCTGCCCGTGGGCCTCGAGCATCCCAGCAGTCTCAAGAACAAAGAGCGGCCGAGCCGGGGGACCGCGGCTGCACCTGACACCGGGATGATAGAGGACCGAGCTCCGGTGTTCGGTGGTCCTCAGATGCTGAGCTCGGTGGAGGCCCCGGACTTTGACTTCGCCCCCAGTCCCGGTTTACGGCCTCAGCTGCTCGTCTTCTCCAATCTGATGCGAAGCGGAGAGGGGATTTTAGATTTGGAGCGCCTGAATCAGCCGATGAAAGGGACGGACCGGAGCCCGGGCCCGGCTGGCCCCAGCCGCACGCCGAGCCTCAGAGGCGCTCAGCAGCACCAGAGCCCGCTGGATCCGCGATGGCCAGCACATCCTCCGGAGGTCCAGGCAGCTGCAGAGCTGTGCCACGGGCATCGGGTCATGTCCGACCCGCCGGAGTGGCCCGTTCTGCCGGAGGGATCCAGCCCACTGGCTGTGATCACCGGGGACCGAGAGGGAGCCGTGTTTGAGCTAGCCCGGAGGTTCGGAGAGCTGGGGCTCGGTGCTGTACCCAAGATGATGCAGTGCTCGTGTCAGAGCGCGCACGGATCGGTGTGTGGAGGGGGAGACTCCGGAGACGAGCCGACAGAGACCAGCGATGCGTTGTTGGTGCTGGAGGGACTGGGGAGCGGGGATGATGACGGCTTGGCCATGGATGAGTGTCCGGGGGACGACACGGAGGACGAGCACGTGCGTCGCGAGTTTTTACTCCAAAGAAAACGGGAAATAGCTCACAAGATGTCCGGAAACTTCTCCATCAGCAGCTTCCAGGTGGAGCTGAGGAGGCAGGTGGCTGCCGCGGGGAACGCGGCGCAACTCTGCCCACAGGTGTGTCCAGAGGACGTCGCTCCTCCTGTGTTGACCCAGCTACCTGCACCTGTCCAACACTCACCCAGGGTCACAAGCCCAGACCCTACCCCGGCATCAACACCCAGACGGCGGTCCGAGCGGTGCGCCAGTGCGCCGCGGACTCCCACTGGTCGTGCAGGTGGAGAAAAGACTCTCCGGGTTTGTGGGAAGTCCAAAAGGGGCTCGTTAAAGGTCAGACTCGGTAAACTGTTCCGAACTAAAAGTTGCAGCGGCTCCAGTCACCTTCTGGACCAGAGGCCCTCGGTGGCGTTTTCAGTCCACTCTGCAGGGAGTCTGGTGGATGAGGCGGGCGCGTCGGGTACCGAGCAGGACCCGGACAGGTGGGAACCTGAGACCCAGCCAGCTGTGCATGAAGGCGGACTCGATCTTAAACCTGACTCAGACCTCAGCTGGCATCTCTCTCTCTCTCTCTCTCTCTCTCTCTCTCTCTCTCTCTCTCTCTCTCTCTCTCTCTCTCTCTCTCTCTCTCTCTCTCTCTCTCTCTCTCTCTCTCTCTCTCTCTCTCTCACTAATTCTCAGCAGCAGCCTCAGGGATGAAACCAGGGGTTATTAGTCCTGCTCCTGGGCGTGTTTTAGTTGTTTCTCTGCTCCAACACACCTGTTCAGCAGCTCTGCAGAAGCCCGACAATCACTGCTGATTAAAATCAGGTGTGGTAAAGCAGGGAAGCAACTAAAACATGCTGGATTAAACTCAACACGGATGCTCTTCCGCAGCTGGCCTTTGATTCTTCTCTTCTTCCTGCAGTCACCGGCAGCCCAGACTGACCAGAGCACACAGTGCCTTCTCCCCCGCCTCCCTCTCCGCTTTCACCGGTAAGGTCTGCTTCTCCATCGTGAGTTTGTCAGTTTGACACGGGAGAGACCTCCACCAGGTTTTCTGTTACTGATGGTTTCTTTACAGCTGAAGCTTCACTCCACAGTGTGTTCTTTTACTTTTTAAGTGTCAGACAAAAAGAAAAGACTGACTTTGATGCAGAACCGGAGCGAGACAACAACCCTGGGTTCACCAGGAAGACGGATCACAGCTGACACAGTGCATGGATAATTAATTAGTCCAACTGGTGAAACACCAAGTTCACACACAGGCTAACACACCCTTGTCTCAGACTCTAGCCCGTCACGTTAGTGGCCCTCAGGGACCAGAAGGTGTTTTTACTCCTTGTGTTTGTCTTCAGCAGCCTGGTGGCCTTCACCTCCACAGGACGTCCTGTTTCTCTGTTGTCTGAGCCTGGCCCGTTAGTCAGCCACCCTGACAGAAAACACTGCAGCCTTTACCCTAACCGGGCTGTTCTCATCAGTCGGACGAGAGAATGAGCGAAGTGAGAGAGCCCTCTTGAACCTGGTGGTGACACTTTAGGCTTCGTGATGGTTTTGCTGCTAAAAGCTCAGCTTCCTTTTGTTGAGGCTGTTTGTGAGACACGTCCTTACAGCCTGTTAGCTCTGATGCTCGTTATCCTTAGTATGACAGAGTTTAATAGATTAGAGTTTACACAGCTGAAGCTAAACGTTGTTACCGACAGCAGCTACGTCTAACTTCCTGTTGTGACTGAATGCTGCTGCAGCATGGAGGTGTAGTTCTCAGTCATCCTGGACGTGATCATCCTGAGAGTTTCAGCTGAAAACAGCTGGACGTTTCTGGATATGTTGGAGACATTTAGCCTCTCATCCCAGAGGCTGCTTCCACACTTTGGTTGTGGTCAGAAACAAACACACTGGTTGTGCTGCAAGTCGTCTTCTTTTGTCTCCAAAACACGTTTGTGTCTAAATGAAGGTGATGTTGTTGTTCATAGAGTTAAAATTCATGTTGAAGTTAAGATTATTTCATCTAGTAGGACCTGTGGTTAGCTGGCTCATTTAAACATGTCGTGTCTTCAAAGAATCGGAATCGGGAATCAATAGGAACCGGAAGCGAAACGAGGAATTAGAATCGTAATCATTCAAAATCATACGATGCCCAAACCTAGCTGGATAACCTATCCTATTTAGATGGAGGCATGTTGGAGACAGGGCAAGGGAGAGTCGTCTTTACCGACTGTACACTCCACCTCCCTCTACTCCCCCACTTGTCCAGATTTAGGCTAACATCAGATTTTAACCATAGGCCCCATCAAATAAAAATGTTTTAAGCCTATTCTTAAAAGTAGACAAGGTGTCTGCCTCACGGACTAAAGCTGGGAGCTGGTTCCACAGGAGAGGAGCCTGATAACTAAAAGATCTGCCTCCCATCCTATTTTTAGATATTCTGGGAACCACAGTAGACCTGCAGTCTGAGAGCGAAGTGCTCGGTTAGGAACGTATGAAACAATCAGATCACTGATGTATGATGGAGCTTGATTATTAAGAGCTTTATATGTGAGAAGAAGGATCTTAAAATCTATTCTGAATTTAACAGGTAGCCAATGTAGGGAAGCTAAGACAGGAGAGATACGGCTTTTACTGACAAGCAGTCTTGTTAATGGGAGGTTTTTAAACACCACCATCTGGAGTGGCTTCCTAAACGTGCGTGCCACCACAGTTGGGCTCCTTGCAAGTTTCAGCCTGAGCTCTGTCAGCACAGCCCTGATGAAGAGGCACTTGGGCAACCGATCACACCTTTTACAATGCCACGCCCCCTTGTATAATCTGTGCACGGGCACACAAATTAATATAAATGAAGTTGATTGACTGATTGAAGATTCTTATCTGAGGCCATGAGAACATCATTTGTAACTCTCACTAATGCAGTTTCAGTGCTGTGATACTCTCTAAAACCAGACTGAAATTCCTCAAACAGAGCATTAGTGTTTAAATGCTCACATACTTGGATGGCCACTATTTTCTCCAGGACTTTGGATAAAAATGGAAGGTTAGATATTGGTCTATAATTCATTGGGTCATCTGGATCCAGAGAAGGCTTCTTAAGTGAAGGTTTGATTACAGCAACCTTAAAATCCTGTGGTACATACCCATTTACTAAGGATAGATTGATTATATCTAGAATGGGGGCAGTAACCAAAGGAGATAGCCTAGTGAACTAGACCAAATTCTTGCTTTGCAAAGTTTGGTCTAGGCATGCTCCACTGGAACCTCAGCAGCTCCTACCAGGACTCTGGCTGGCCAATCACAGCTCTCTAGAGGGGTTTCAAACACATAAAGAGCTGTGATTGGTCCATATTGGTGGGCCAATCATAGTGCTCTATCTGCTTAGTGAACAAATCACAGAGCTTTATCCGCTTTGTGGGCCAATCAGGGCACTCTATGTGCCTGGTGGGTGGGATGATGCAACAGAGTGAAACAAGAGGATGTCACATTCATTGTCCAGTGGAATGCGGAGATCATTTGAAAGACAACGGTAGAACCCGCCCCACAACCGAGAGCCGTCAATGGAGCGTGGCCGGACTAAATAATACGTTTATTTAGTCTGGCTTGCCAGGCTACAAAGGAAATGCTTCTTTAAATAATTTGGTTGGCTATCTTTGCAGCATCGACCAAAGAGCACACAGACAAATCTGAAGTTATGAACGTCTACAACACCAGGGCCTCATTCATCAAACATTCGTAGAGATGTTCCTGTAATATTTCCTATGAACGGAATCTAGAAAGTTCGTAAGAACGGTCAAAAACCTGCTTATGAAACCTGCGGTGGCTTCTCGTACGCACGTTCCTCCGCAACCGTCTGATGATGAATCCCACCTGTGGGTACCCAGGTGCTCCTGTCATACATACAGAACCGCCTTCAATGCACCGTATTTCATCACACCACGTCCTGCGCTCGTGACGGGATTCCCTGGGTTCTTCCTGGAAAAGAAACAAAACAGAGAAAACTTTGTTGCGAGACCGAGACAGTGGCTGCCAAAGTGCATCAGAACCAAACACATGACAGAGGTTGTAAACGCTCTCGGGACGGAGGAGAGGTCCCCGTCACAAATATAAAACAATAGAGTCTGATCATTCATATTTAAGAAGTTGTCCTGTTTGGAATTACTTTTATTTGGAGCTGTAAATCTGTCTGGTTACCATGGCAACACACGTACGATCAGGGAGCAGAGGCGGTTGTGGGGGGTGGGGGGGTGGGGTCTCGTAGTTGTAAAATAAAATATGGACTGGAATCGGATTGGTGTGGTTTATCTGTCGCTCCACCATGAGTTCCAGATCACAGCACAGCTCCAGAAGGATCTCCTTCAGGAATCCGGTCAGAACGCTCACGGAGGACACGTTCCCTCCAGAGAGCCCGCTCCGCCACATCCTCCATGGAGAGTAACGAAACTTTATGTGTGCAACCGTATAGTTTTAGGAGACAGCTTTCCACAGTTTACCAGTTAAAATGTTTCAGAACATGTTCTCATTCAGAAACACGCCCCGGCCAAGAGGTCGCGGAGGTCGTGCAAAAATCACGTTTGCATTTGAGCAGATAAAAGATCAAACAATAACAGAGAGATAAGGGCTAACTGGACCTGAAGACCACACACACACACACACACACACACACACACACACACACACACACACACAAGCTTTGGAAAGTCAAACAAAGAGACTGTCATTGTTCCTTCATCATGTCTCTGTCACTAGGTGAGACCGTTTCTTTGGTGGACGTGGACATCTTGCAGCAAGGGACATGCACACCACACACCCCCACGCCTCCCTGTCCTCCACGCCGAAGTCTCAGTCTGTTAGGTACCTTCTCTGTGTGTGTGTGTGTGTGTGTGTGTGTGTGTGTGTGTGTGTGTGTGTGTTCTGCACACGCACCCTGTCAGCTCTACATGGGAAACACTTCTGCTGTTTGCTCTACTAATATTATTTATTTGTGTTGTTATTCATTCCTGAAAACTGGTGACAAGTTTTCTGTAATCTCCTGTAATCTGACAAGTGAGGGTTAGAAAGGTTAGAAAGATGTTTCCTCAGGAGGACGTTATACTCAGGCTGTCCAAACCGTTGTGCCCTTGGGCCTAGCCCGTAATGAAGCAAGTATATTTCTGCAACCAAAGGTCTGATTGATAAAAGATTGAAGGAACCTCTTGCGGGATTATTTACGGTGAGCATCAGCATAATCAGTCTGATAACCAGGTGTGATGCAGACGCTTCTCTTCCCATGTACAGCACCACATGTTTCATTATTATGGAACCACACTGATTCCACACAGTTGATCTGTTTGTCAGAAGTGTGGGCGTTAGAGCTGCTCGCTAGTTGAACCTCCATTGCAGCTGTATTATGCAGCCTTGTATCCCCGTGACTGATTTAACTCTGGTTTCCAGCGGGGAGGACATTTCTCCTGAACAACTTCAGCTGATGTCTTATGAGCACGGGAAAACTGAAGAATGTAACCCTCGTAATTGTTTTCTGCTCCCATTTGGATGCAGAAGTTCCCATTCCTGTCTGTGCATGTCGAGCCTTCCCACACGGTGCAGCAGTGCCCCCTAGCGGCTGCGATGGGTGCTGCTGAAGCACCTGCCACTGGCCTGAAAAAGCCACCAGAGGGGTTTTCTGGACTACCCATGCTTATCAGCTTCATCATTGATTCTGCTGCACCCTCAACCCCTTGGGGAGAGCACACAGGCAGATGTCCGTCAGTACATTAGTCCCCTCCCACAAATCCATGTCTGGCTTTGCAGCCAGCTCAGCCCAGATGCCTGGAGCTAAGAGCTGACATTCAGGGCCCAAACCAAGAGGTGTGTGTGTGTGTGTGTGTGTGTGTGTGTGTGTGTGTGTGTGTGTGTGTGTGTGTGTGCAAAAGCCAGCTTGAACAAGTGAGTCTTCAGCTGCTTTTTAAAGGAGACCACTGAGTCCACTGATCTCAGGCTCAGGGGGAGAGAGGTCCAGAGTCTGGGGGCCACAGCAGCAGATGATCTGTCACCTTTGACCTTTAGCCTGGTGCTGCACAACCAGTAGTCTTTGGTCACTGGACCTCAGGGACCTGCTGGGGGTGTAGGGACTAAGAAGATCACCAATGTAAGATGGTGCCTGTCCATGTAAGGCCCTATAGACCAGAACCAGGATCTTGAAATGAACCCTGAAGTTGACTGGCAGCCAGTGAAGCTGGAGGAGAAGCGGGGTGATGTGGGTGTGTTTGGAGGACTTGGTCAGAAGCCGAGCACAGGCCTTCTGAACCACCTGTAGACGGTTCAGGGAGGTTCTGCTCAGACACGTGAAAAGAGAGTTACAGTAGTCTAAGCGTGAGGAGATGAAGGTGTGGAGAACTGTCTCAAGTTCAGAGCGGGACAGAATGGGACTCAGCTTAGCAACGTTCCTGAGATGGAAGAAGGAAGAGCCAACAAGAGAACTGACATGAGAATCCAGGGTGAGAGCTGGGTCAAAGGTCACGCCAAGATTCCTGACAGAAGGTTTGGTGTGAGAAGCAAGCTGACCAAGAGAGTCTCTGACTTTGGGAACCAGCTTGTCTGGGGCACAGATGAGGATCTCAGTCTTATCTTCATTCAGCTGAAGAAAGCTCCCACCTTCCAGGCTTTGATAGAGTCTAAGCAGGTGTGTAACAGCTGCAGCTCAGACATCTCATGGGGCTTAAAGGAGATGTACAGTTGGACGCCTCCCTGGTGAGGTTTTCTGGGCACGTCCAACCGGGAGGAGACCTAAAGGTAGACCCAGGACACGGTGGAGGGACTATGTCTCTCACCTGGACAGGGAACGCCTTGGGATTCCCCCGGAGGAGCTGGCCCAAGTGGCTGGGGAGAGGGAAGTCTGGGCCTCTCGCCTTAGGCTACTGCCCCCGCGACCCGACTCTGGATAAGCGGATGAAAAAGGATGGATGGATAATAATAAATGAATGAGGAGGTCATTTGAATGAATATGTCTGATGGAGAAAACCTTTTCTTTCTTACTTTCCGTTCCTTCTGTTTCTCTTCCCCCGAACCTTCTCCTTCTCTCTCCCACCCCGTCCTGCTCTCCTTTCTCCAGATAACATATCTGGGCCTCAGCCTGGGCCTTTTCTACTGAGTGTCATGGGGGCCTCTCTGCAATCCCTCCCCCTTCCTCTCCCTCCTCCCCCTCCTCTCTCCAGCTGCACCATCCAGCATAGTGTCAGCCTCAATGGTAAGACCAGTGACTGAACAGATGCTGGACCTAGGGGTCTGATGTTAACTGAAGCTACTGGAAGTTGATGCTCACCTGTCCCACCATCCCACTGACTCCAGAACAAGTTTTATTTCATGTAAATTGATAAAAAATAAATTTTTAATGATCTTTCATGTTCAAATATAAAATCCTGTTATATGTTCAGTTGCCATTCGTTAGTTGATCTTTGAAAAAACACCATTAGTGTGTTTGAGGACATGACTTGAAGCTTTTAGGGGATCAGTCCTGGTCCACATGGCCGGGTTCTTGTGGCTCCAGTTCACACCAGCAGACGGGGCAAGGGCCGGCGCGCAGCAGCTTCATCCCTCACCATACTGGGACTTTCATCGGTCATTTATCACGTTAAATCTCCACGTCTGAGTTAGTTTAAGAATAAATGTCCAGGTGAACAACTGCCAACCGAAGCCCTTTGATAGGGAGTCACTATTAACCCTAACCCTAACAAAACATCACCCATACTTCTGAGCTCCAGCACTGTTTTCAGTTTAACCACTGAGCACGGCTCATTGATCCATCGGTGTGTGTGTGTGTGTGTGTGTGTGTGTGTGTGGTGGGGAGGGGGGGTGGTATGGTTGTTATTTTCTCCTTTACGCTCCCGTTTAAATACCTGATTGAAACTTTTATCTGGGATCTTTTCTGATGCAGATGCCTTTCTTCGGGCCCTCCCTCATTCAAGCTCGCTGCCGGCTGATTCTCCGCCTCCCATCAGACAAGCCCCACCCTCTGTGTTGTGCGCGCTGCGCCGCTCTGAAGCTAGCAGCTTCACAGCCAGTTTAAGAGAGCTGGAGAAGGTAAGACTGGTTGCTCCACTCACTCCTCGGCCAGATTAAAGCGTGACGCAGACAGGTCACCTGTTCGAGGCTCTGTTAGTGGGTTTGCTTCGCAGCAAGACAGGAAGTAGCAGAAGGAACCCTTCTGACTGCGCCTGGGTGTCTGTGTCTGCAGTGTGGCTGGTACTGGGGTCCTATGAACTGGGAAGATGCAGAAATGAAGCTGAAGGGGAAACCTGATGGATCCTTTCTGGTCCGAGACAGTTCAGACCCTCGCTACATCCTGAGCCTCAGCTTCAGGTCACAGGGAGTCACACATCACACCCGCATGGAGCACTACCGAGGTGACACGCACACACACGGATCCTCAGCCAATCAGAGTCATGGTCTTTGTTATTAAAAACAGAGGAGGGTGATTGCATTCAGTGTTGCACTGGAAGACCGATCTGCATTTGTGATTTCTGTGACACACGTGGAACTAAACTCTCCTTCTGCTCTCAGGGACCTTCAGCTTGTGGTGCCACCCGAAGTTTGAGGACCGCTGTCACTCTGTGGTGGAATTTATTGAGCGAGCCATCATGTACTCTAAGAATGGCAAATTCCTCTACTTCCTCCGCTCCAGAGTCCCAGGTAGAAACACGTAGAACCAGGTGTTGGGGTGAAGAGAAGCAGCTGTTTGGCGCTTGATAAACCAAAGTCACTGCAAGTAACTCCCCTTTTGGGTTCAGGGCTGGGCCAGCATTTCTTTGGCTCAGCACTCTGTTGGAAACTATCCAATCACGTTGCAGTGATGTCGTATTTCCTTGACTCTAGCTAAGGTGTGGGAAAGTGTCCTATAGCAGCTTTACACAATCATTCTACAGGTTCGGCCACCACAGCAGCTAAATGCATGAATCTGATGGTTACACATGCTGGGCTGCATGGTGACACCGTTGGTAGCACCGTTGCCTCGCAGCAGGAATAATGCAGGCAGCAGCCTTTCTGCAGGGAGTTAGCATGTTCTCCCCCTCCATCCATTACCTGAACCCGCTTGTCCATGCAGGGTCACGGGGGGCCTAGCCCCAGCAGTCAACGGGCAAACAGGCAGGGCACACCCTGCACAGATTGCCGGTGCGTCGCAGCGTGTTCTCCCCTTGCATTTGTTTTCCTTTGGGTTCTGGTTTCCTCTCACCTTGTGACTGATGGAGGTAGACAGTAGCTCCCTGACAGACACTCCATCCACCTTGCCTGCTGGTGGTGTTCTCAGGGACCAGCGGATGGATGGCAGCCTCGCTTTGAAGCGCCGCAGCTGTGGTTCAGTGCT